CGGAAGTGTCATGGTGTGGGGTGCTTTCTGTGGCAATGCACGTTCCAGGCTTCTTGTCATCCGTGGCAACCTCAACGCTGCTGCTTAACGCGACCAGGTACTGGCACCAGAACTTGGACATGGACCCGGTTTGATCTTCCAACACGACAATGCCAGACCCCATGCAGCAATTTTGACGAGGAATTTCCTTCAGAATGCGGGAGTCAACGTCATGGACTGGCCGTCAAGGTCTCCTGACCTCAACCCCATCGAACACGTCTGGGATGCTCTTGGCAGAACTCTCCAGAACTCTCCAGAACCAACCACAGAAGTTGCAAGATAATTTTGCAACAATGGCGTCGTCTTCCCAATCATGTGTTCACAAGAATCACAAGGTCCATGCGGAGGCGTTTTGTGGCAGTTGTCAACGCACATGGTGGCCATACACGCTACTGAACCTTAGTGCTATCACATTCTCGTGCTTGGGACTTATGATTTAAACTGTTTATGTTATTACGGAATACCGTAGGTGCTTGGAACAAATTATGGTTACCACCGTTAATTAAAATCCTTCTTTGGACATTAATGATTAAAAATTACCTTCTCTGATACATCTGTCCGTGGTATATCATATATGGGATTACTTTTAAAAATGTGAAGTTTTTAATTTGACTCAGTATATCTATAAATATTTCCTATAGACTATAGTCGGTATATCAAAGAAGCACATGCTTATCACAACACGCGGATTACCTGTCGGCTTATCAAAGAAACCGGCCACGTGGGACGCCCCTAGGTGACTTTCATTGTCTCGGAAAAAGCGTAGGCCTTTTTGCTTCGAAGCGGGGTATAAGGGATTTATTCTATATCTCAGAAATCCACATCCAGCCTGTCTTGTTCGTTGCGGGGTATAAGGGATTTATTCTCCTGCTGATACATTTATGTCCCTCCGATACGTAGTGATTTATCAAGATCATGTGAACTAATCAGATCTCATCATTTAGACATGGAGGTATGTGTTAAATACAGATGGTCAATGTGTGACTATATCGTTACTCTTCCCTCAGGTTTGTATCTAGTCTCTCATGGCCCGTTCCTAGTTCACGTGTTTCTATACCCAACGTCTTTCATTACTAGTTCTTTGTACATAGTGTTTCCGTGCCCAAAGTCTCTTATTGCCTGTTCATTGCCCTTGACAAACTGTGGTATTTACTGAGGCCCGTCTCTGTCAACCAATATGAGATGAGTTTCCAAGTGAAGATGATTCTGCTTCTATTTCCATACAATAACATGTGTGTCATGTTACACTGACGACAGTAGTGTGTGATAATGACTAAACAGGACACAGATCCTACACCCTACTCTCCATTTCAGTTCCTCAAGTCGCCCCGTGAACATCCGAGATAGAATAGGTCTTCAGCAACCTATGTTTGCCGTAACAGCGGACTATGTTTGTCGTAAGAGGTGAATAACGAGATCGGGTGGTCAGGCTTGCTCACTTGGTTTGATGCATGTCATCGTATCCAAATTGCGTGGATCGATGATCATGGTGTCAATCACTGGATTGTCTGGTCCAGACTCGATTATTTACAGACCGCCGTATTATAACTGGAATACAACTGAGTGCGATGTTAAACAACAAAAAAAAAATAATAAAATCATCAAATCGCTTAAGTATAATATATACCACCAAACTACGACAGTTACCCATATTCAGAAATAACAACTTATCTAATTGAGAGACACAAATTGTGACAATTCGCTGTGTGTACTGGGCCTCCATCGTCGCACGAGCACGATGTTGTAGTAGTGAGCATGATGATGCAACCGTTGAGACGATGTTGTAGCAGTGAGGACAATGCTGTAGGAGTTAAGACGATGTTGTAGCAGTGAAACCGATGTTGTAGGAGTTAGGACGATGTTGTAGCATTTAGCATGATGTTGTCATAGTGAAGACGATGTTGTATCAGTGACGACGATGTTGTAGCAGCTAGGAAGATGTTGTAGCATTTAGCACGATGTTGTAGCAGTGAGTACGATGTTGTTGCCATGAGGACGATGTTGTTGCCGTGAGGACGATGTTTTAACAGTGAACATGATGTTGTAGCAGTGAGGATGATGTTGTTGCCGTGCGCACGATGTTTTAACAGTGAACATGATGTTGTAGCAGTGAGGATGATGTTGTTGCCGTGCGCACGATGTTGTAGCAGTGAGCACGATGTTGTAACATTTAGCACGATGTTGTAGCAGTGAGCACGATGTTGTAGCAGTGAAGACGATGTTGTAGCATTTAGCACGATGTTGTATTAGTGAGCACGATGTTGTAGCAGTTAGGACGAATTTGTAACAGTGAGCACGATGTTGTAGCATTTAGCACGATGTTGTAGCAGTGAGCACAATGTTGTAGCATTTAGCACGCTGTTGTAGCAGTGAGCACGATGTTATAACATTTCGTACGATGTTGTAGCAGTGAGCACGATGTTGTAGCAGTGAAGACGATGTTGTAGCAGTGAGGACGATGTTGTAGCAGTGAGCACGATGTTGTAGCATTTAGCACAATGTTGTAGCAGTGAGCACGATGTTGTAGCAGTGAGCATGATGTTGTTGCCGTGAGGACGATGTTTTAGCAGTGAAGACGATGTTGTAGCAGTGAACATGATGTTGTTGCCGTGAGGACGATGTTTTAGCAGTGAACATGATGATGTAGCAGTGATCACGATGTTGTAGTAGTTATGACGATTTAGTAGCTGTGAGGACGATGTTGTAGCAGTTAGGACGATGTTTTATTTGTAAGCATTTAGCAATGGGCATGTGCAGACAGAATCTACTTCTATCTCAACTAAAACGCAGCCGAGATCTTATAGAAACATGATCCTACTTTTAACAGTGTGTGTAATTGAGAGATCCCGGAAATAGACTGGTAGACTAGGTTGAATGCGGCAATTAATTTGTGGTGATAGGAGCTAGATGCCCCCATAGAACCTACATCGATTATAGGCTATCATATCAGGCCCTGGTGCGTTCCAGGTCTTGCTCGCCATCCTCCTCAGGGTTTAAACCTATTGATAAAGTATAAACATCACATGATATGCTTGAGTATGTCTAGTTGCATGCACTTGTTACACGCAGATCGATTCCCGAACTCTTGTGCACTGTGAACGCGGACACAACTCTGCAATGAAGAGGCACTCCGAAAGGTTCCACCTAAAAGTTTGAAACCCCTGAATCTGAATCAGCAAAGGATGGCGGGGTTGAATGGATTGTGAATGAACGTCTCGCCAAACCCTGCCGCGGTACATACTCAAGTTCACAAGCTGACAGATAAAGGTTTGTTTCTTTACGACAGTTTCCCCAGACAGTCGTGTGTGTATAAACTCCCCGATAAAGTCAACCTTAATGACTAAGTGATGTTTTTGTCAAACAGTAAACATAGTTTGCCATGTTAAGCATTGGCAGATAGTTAAATGAATTGTAGAGTTGAATCGAAGGAAATTATCTCATTACTGCATCTAGACACGGAATTCGTACTTTATGCCAGTTCAGGTATTGTTTGCAAAAACAAGTGTTTGGGTAATCTGATAAATACTCACAAAAATTACCTTTGAAACGCACTAGGAGATTTACATCATTTATATAAAGAGATGAATTGATTTTACGTCGCGAGTTTAAGCTCCCCTTCAATATGACTTAGGTGAGAAAATAGATGGAAGATGTTTGTCCAGGAAATGTCACTGCTTCTCCCTTTGGTGTTTGTTGAAGAAACACCTCATCCAGATCAATGCTCCCAGTACGTGACATTCTCCCGCCATGTTCGACCTTAGAAAGGAATCTTCTCACGATTGCCATTTAAGGACATCGACTGATGATAATGTACATGTATGTGAAAAATAAATCGTTCGGAGCCATGCTTCAAATACATAAACCACCGCTACCACCTCCACAGTAACATGAACGACGTCAGCTAAATGAATACATTGGTGTCCGATCATTTACTTCTGGACATAGCACTGGAGTTACGGATGTGCACACGGGTATGCTTACAGTATAAACTGACGGAGTACCACGTCTGACTGGGGAACATCATGTCAACTCCTCAAGGGGATCGTGTTGCGCATCTTGGAGGGAATTAGTTTTACATCTTCACGCTGATTCCCCGCACGTTCCATCTCGCGCGTCACTGTCAGCATCAGGATGGAATGTGGATGTTTAAAACTAATCAGAACAAGGGAATCAGATGACACCCCTCAGTGATTGGGTTGAATTAACAAACTGTACACTGATAAACACTTCACATCATATACTGTACATTCTATACACACCACACGACAGTGTGAAGAACCCCTGCCACTGAGTTACCCCGCTGAACCAGTGATAAACTAGGCCCGATATTCTAGGCCTCAGTAAAGTTGGAACACCTATTGCGAACACCTGTCACCCCCCTGTCTGTCGCAATCGTACAATGAACCCTGCGGGAAGTAGCAATATCTCATTATTATGGAAATGGTTTTGCCGCTTGAATGTACGACTCGCATGTGCAGCTGCAATGTGAGCAATGTCTCTAAACTCTTGGCTGGTCAAAAACGTTACATCAGGCCTCCATTATGTACATGTGTGGCCTGAATAGGTTTGTTGGAACTGAAAGCTTTCGCCTGTAAATGGATGAAATGTTCTCTTACCTTTATCAAATCAGTACCCGAGAGCAGAACTGTGAACATTTCTCAAACGGGTACCAGCATATCACAAACAGAATCCTTAAGGCAAAATTTATCTGACACTACTCGTCTCTTTTGCACTCATTCAATACTAGCGTCCATGAAGTGAAAATAGATTTTCCTTTTGATACGCTTTAGTTCAAAGAAAGAATATTGTTATATCTCCTGTTCGATATGTAGCTAAGGGGTATTGAAACAAGCAGCCTTTTCCTGATACACAGTGAACGTCATGTGAGGCACGTCATGTGACGTCAGTAGCTTCTGTCCAGCGTCATATGTAAGACATCAAGCATTTCATGTTCTACAAACCTCACGAGAGTAACGTTTCAGCTGTCCTTGACCTTGCTCCAGCCTCCAGGTGTACCTCCGTTCCGAGTGGTGGGTTCAGCACAACATGCTGCATGTCATCGCCTGAAAAACACAAGGATAACGCCTCAATACACAAGGATAACGCCTGCAATACACAAGGATAACGCCTGCAATACACAAGGATAACGCCTGCAATACACAAGGATAACGTCTGAAATACACAAGGATAACGCCTACAATACACAAGGATAACGCCTGCAATACACACGGATAACGCCTGAAAAACACAAGGATAACGCCTGCAATACACAAGGATAACGCCTGCAATACACAAGGATAACGCCTGCAATACACAAGGATAACGCCTGAAAAACACAAGGATAACGCCTGCAATACACAAGGATAACGCCTGCAATACACAAGGATAACGCCTGCAATACACAAGGATAACGCCTGAAATACACAAGGATAAAGCCTACAATACACAAGGATAACGCCTGCAATACACACGGATAACGCCTGCAATACACAAGGATAACGCCTGCAATACACACGGATAACGCCTGCAATACACAAGGATAACGCCTGCAATACACACGGATAACGCCTGCAATACACAAGGATAACGCCTACAATACACACGGATAACGCCTGCAATACACACGGATAACGCCTGCAATACACAAGGATAACGCCTACAATACACACGGATAACGCCTGCAGTACACAAGGATAACGCCTGCAATACACAAGGATAACGCTCACAGCCCTGAAATGCACAAGGATAACGCCTCAATACACAAGGATAACGCCTGCAATACACAAGGATAACGCCTGCAATACACAAGGATAACGCCTGCAATACACAAGGATAACGCCTGCAATACACAAGGATAACGCCTGCAATACACAAGGATAACGCCTGCAATACACACGGATAACGCCTGCAATACACAAGGATAACGCCTGCAATACACAAGGATAACGCCTGCAATACACAAGGATAACGCCTGCAATACACAAGGATAACGCCTGCAATACACAAGGATAACGCCTGCAATACACAAGGATAACGCCTGCAATACACAAGGATAACGCCTACAGTACACACGGATAACGCCTGCAGTACACAAGGATAACGCCTACAATACACAAGGATAACGCCTGCAATACACAAGGATAACGCCTGCAATACACAAGGATAACGCCTGCAATACACAAGGATAACGCCTGCAATACACACGGATAACGCCTGCAATACACAAGGATAACGCCTGCAATACACAAGGATAACGCCTGCAGTACACAAGGATAACGCCTACAATACACAAGGATAACGCCTACAATACACACGGATAACGCCTGCAGTACACAAGGATAACGCCTGCAATACACAAGGATAACGCCTGCAATACACAAGGATAACGCCTGCAATACACAAGGATAACGCCTGCAATACACAAGGATAACGCCTACAGTACACACGGATAACGCCTGCAGTACACAAGGATAACGCCTACAATACACAAGGATAACGCCTGCAATACACAAGGATAACGCCTGCAATACACAAGGATAACGCCTGCAATACACAAGGATAACGCCTGCAATACACACGGATAACGCCTGCAATACACAAGGATAACGCCTGCAATACACAAGGATAACGCCTGCAGTACACAAGGATAACGCCTACAATACACAAGGATAACGCCTACAATACACACGGATAACGCCTGCAGTACACAAGGATAACGCCTACAATACACAAGGATAACGCCTGCAATACACACGGATAACGCCTACAATACACAAGGATAACGCCTGCAATACACAAGGATAACGCCTACAATACACAAGGATAACGCCTACAATACACACGGATAACGCCTGCAGTACACAAGGATAACGCCTACAATACACAAGGATAACGCCTGCAATACACACGGATAACGCCTGCAATACACAAGGATAACGCCTGCAATACACAAGGATAACGCCTGAAATACACAAGGATAACGCTCACAGCCCTGAAATGCACAAGGATAACGCCTGCAATACACAAGGATAACGCCTGCAATACACAAGGATAACGCCTGCAATACACAAGGATAACGCCTGAAATACACAAGGATAACGCTCACAGCCCTGAAATGCACAAGGATAACGCCTACAAGATACAAGAATAGCACCTGCAATACACAAGGATAACGCCTGCACTACACAAGGATAATGCTCACAGAACTGCAATACACACGGATAACGCCTGCAGTACACACGGATAACGCCTGCAGTACACACGGATAACGCCTGCAATACACAAGGATAACGCCTGCAATACACAAGGATAACGCTAACAGCCCTGCAATACATACGGATAACGCCTGCAATACACAAGGATAACGCCTGCAATACACAAGGATAACGCCTGCAATACACAAGGATAACGCCTGCAATACACAAGGATAACGCCTGCAATACACAAGGATAACGCCTGCAATACACACGGATAACGCCTGCAGTACACACGGATAACGCCTGCAATACACAAGGATAACGCCTGCAATACACACGGATAACGCCTGCAATACACAAGGATAACGCCTACAATACACAAGGATAACGTCTGCAATACACAAGGATAACACTCACACCCGGAGTCGTGATACAAGTGAAAAAGGTCAAGATAAGAATGAGTATCGATATTTGATCGACACTGTTGAAATTATACATCAATACGAAGTCACCTGCATCATAACTGGTTAAGTCGTTTAGCGTGATAGAACCCAGAATGAATCCTGGATCAGATTGTATGTATACTGACCGAAGTTCTGCCACAAAGGAAAGGTTCATAAATACATTCACATACAAACAATTCATACAAAAATACACACAATACAACAGATACACACACATATTCAAACATATTCAAATTCACACAATTTCATAGAATACATAAAACTCAAGTTTTTCGTTCTCACGTAGTAAAATACTATGTTAAAAGCAGTGTCAGAATTCTAAATGCACTCAATATGTTGATGCCCGTCAATTCAAAGTGAATCATCAAAGTCGTGGGAAGATTACCAATAATGCTCCGTACACCAACTTATGGTCCAATCAGTGAAGCACACACGCTTACTTCCAGTAAAGACAGCAGCCTACTGACATTTGGCGCTGTACAGTGAGGGCGGGGCTGGTGGTACGTGGACGGCGATGCGGGTGAGGGTTGGAAGCAGACCCATGTGACCAGCTTGTATCAATACCAAACACAACCTCCCAATTGATCAACGTGGGGGACGTCATCAGTAAACTTAAACCAATGTGAACCTGTGTTCGCCTGGTATCGCCCGAGGGCAGTTCAATTCTAAATATTAATTATGCAAGTCATCACCTGCCTTTCAATCCTGCTTTTTTTTTACTTCATTGTGACTTAACATGACGTACAGACTGAGTGGTCTGTGTGACGTTTGAATAGGGTGAACAATGGCAAAAAGTAAAGTTTCCTGTATATAAATCGTTCCCTTGACTACAAGTATTAGTTTACCGAAGTAATTAATTGCTCCATTATACAATGCCTATATGTTCTGAAAAAGGATAATTAATTGCAATTGAACGAAACAGCTTTTTCCATCTAACTTTGATTACATTCAGCCTACGGCCTGTTGATGCAGCCTCGTCATTCGCAGACATTGATGAGAATATTTCGGTTGTGATTAACGTGCAGAATACACTCATCATGATCTAATTGCGACCTATTCTTATGTCATACTTAGGAACATACAAAAAACGTAACCACTTTACATAATGATAGTACTTTCCATAAACTTGACTGGCATCAAACGCGACTAGTCCAAGTTTGATATGATCCCTTGTTGTATAACATTTCACGCCTGTCACTCAGGGAATATTGAAAATGACGCTAGTTGTATAAGGTTTCATACACCCCGACAATGCATCAATTACCATGTTAAACACATTGTTCAGATTAGGCAGCAACGCTGAAAGAGATGATGGCGGTTTGTTGGCTTCGTGTTTAGTTGTTATAAAACATTTGTGTTACGTTCGTCTTCCAATCGGATATTGGTTCTGTGTGATTGATCAGAGAATCAGATCGATCACAGTCGGCTGATCTGATCAATGTTGTGAATGCCCCTCCTGCAGAGAGAAATATCACCCGGGTTGCACAACGGAGAATGTGAATAGAGCTCCTGCTGTGAGATCTAGGACTCAGTAATACTGGGATTGTGAGGGAAAATTGAAAAGTGGAGTTGAGTGGTATTGTGCTTCGTATGACCTTACAAACCAACGCTTGCTATATTAGATGGATATTCTTAGAGCCGCACCCGTGACTCTATGTACGGCAGAATCTAGGAAGGCTTCCTGTTGAATGCAGTCGGAGACGCACAGCTGCCGATGAGGCTCATATTCCCAAACTAAGGCTGAGACATTATGCCCAGGTGACATTTGATCACATCCAGTGTATTAAACGCACAGTAGCACCTGTTTCAGAGCGATGACAAGACCGTGGTTGCGGTGTGTTATCAGAATGTAATCTCAGTCCACCGGAGCCATCTGGCGGTCGATAGACACCGATGTTCATTGAAGGATGTTAATAGTGCAGAGTGCGATGTAACACCACTCCCACTGGATGCACACAGATTAATCTGTAGAAGTTAAACAGTTCACAGCAATTGGTTGTGATCGTATTCGTTGAGGTTGTCTTTTGAAACTTGAAATCTAGTATTATCAATTCCCTTTATGTCAGTATCACTCTTTACGTCCATTTGCCTATCCAGCCTTACGCGCGTCAGTGTGTGTTTTGTTTAACGCCGCGTTGATCAATACAGTAAACTACAGTTATAACGAACTCAAAGGGACCACAAATTTTAGTTCGTTATAACCGTAGTTCGTTATAAGCATATATACAGCAAATATACAGCAAATGGACGGGATCAAAACACATTTCAGAATATCTGTCAGTTCGTTATAAGCGTGTTCGGTATAAACGTAGTTTATTGTATTTCAGTTTTGCCCCTGCTTGGATTTTGTGTCGAGATTAGATAATTTTCAGCTCCAACTACAAAACCAGATCTGTTTTTTAT